TTCTTCAAACTTCAAAATTGACTTTCAGACTACATCTGATTCTTCTATAAAACAGATTACACAAAAAGAGGACTTAACTGAGAATAAAGAGAAATTGCCTTATAAGCAATTCACTTATGGTGTTGAGGACCAGGAAAAGCAAAGATTGAGACTTGAAATGTTAAAGCAACAAGACGTTATGGTTAAGAGAATCAGAGGCCAATGCAGAGGCCAAGATGGTTTTCACTGATCCAAATGATACTACAAGCAATAAAGAGAGACTTATCAGCTGGAAGGGAAGCTCTGCTATGGAAACCTACTTGGCATAAGAAGAAACCCAGAATAAGACTGAAAAAAAGTGAAAGTTAAAGTTTTATGTACTGGATTAAAGGCAACCTAGAACTATGGATTGATTTAAGGACTAAGATTATGAGTTAGATGTAAGAGAAACGGGCGACTAATAGAAGATATATAAGGTTTATCTATATGAAAATTACTATTTCTAATAAGATGATTTACTTGTTTGATGTTCAATGAATTGAAATAATTTAAGGTTTGATACTATCTTGTCAGCTTAAAGAGATTGACTGATAGATTAGATATGACTAGGATAGATCAATATTTTAGCTTAAAAAGGAGATATTTTAGGTAATAAAGATAATCTAGAATTATGGGTTGATTTGATTAAGATTGTGAGTTAGAAGTAAGAAAAAGGGGTGATTAATGGAATATATATTAAATTGATTAAGTGTTCTTTTTTCTTTTTTAGGACGATAGGGTTACTTGTAAGAAAATTATTATGCATGTTGAGTTAATCTAATAAGATGATTTGTTTGTTTGATAACACGGATATTATTAGTTATAACAATTAATTGGATGTAATTTGAATTCTGTTTAATGGATTGAAATGACTTAAGGTCTGATTTTCTTCTGTCAGATTAAAGAGATTGATTAATTGATGGATTAGTTATGTATAGGATAGATTAATATTTTATTTTAATTAAGGGACATTAGTGGAAGAAGAATTAAGTAAGACTTATGATAAAATTAAGGAACTAGAATATATTTGGAAGGGCTACCCGAATTGATAATGTTTGTACTTAAAGTTAATTTGATTATGGTAGTGTAAATTTCTAAAGCTTTAAAAACAGGTATAGGTTGAATAAATTTAAGCTAGAATTGGACTATTTTAAATAAATTATGTTACCTAAGGGAAAAAGAGGGAATACTAGATGTATTGGTTGAATTATGTATATATATTTTGTCTTTGGATGTTTGACTACCCTAACACCACAGTGTGTCTTGAGCACTTTGTTTTAAAAACCAACGGAAATTTTTTCTAAAAAAAAAAAGAAGGAAGGAAGAATGGGAGGCAAAAGCCAGGAAGGTGACCCTTAAGTGTGGCAGACACCAATGGGGGTGGAAGCAAGAGATGGAAAAGTCGCTCAACCTCAGTGAGGACAACGAGAGACCCGCTTGATCCAAAAGCTTCCTCACCAGGGCTCAATGGTGCCAGGGATGGCAGAGGAGGAATGCCAGGAGGGTGAGTTAGCGAACCCGGGTCCTTCTACCAATGCAGCAGAGGCTATGGAGGCTATAGCTGCAGCAGCCACCCCACTGCAGGTCACCCTAGTTGGGGGAGACGGGTGCTGAGCCAGACGAAGGAGAATCCACCAGGCCGGCCGACAGGTCCCGCTCTTGGGAGTGAAATATGATGGTGCATCTGAGCAATTGGGGTTTTTCCTAGCCCATGTCCTGAGCTATATGGAGGAATACAGTCGAGACATCCCTAGCGACCACGGATGGATGAGAGTCGTGACCATGGCCCTGGAGGGAGTGATGGCTTGATGGATAGTGACCTGCATAATGCTGATGCCCCCGAGCTCCAAAACTTCAACTAAATTCATGGCTTCCCTTAGCTGACAGGAAGGCCAGAAAATGCATTAAAACCATGAAGCAAGATCGTCATCGGGTGGCTGAGTATACAGAGGAGTTTAGAGACCTGGTGTGCCATCTCAACTGGCCGGAAGACCTACTGGGTCATTTCAAAGACAGGCTGAACAATGATGTGTACCATGCATGCATTGCCAGGGGAGACCCAAACTGCCTCAACAATTGGTGTGTCCTGTCTGAGGAAGCCGAGATCAACCAAGCCCAAAGCCAGCGATGCCTGGGGCGAACCTGGAGATGCTCACCCCCCCCCAGGGGGAAATGAGAGGCAGTGAGACTCCCCACCGCAACTCCATGCTCAACAGTTTGCTTCAAGGAGGGGCACCGGGCTGCAGAATGCTGTTCAACATCTCCCAATAAAAGTTCCTTTTGAAATGAGGTTCATTTCAAGAGTTTTGCTTTCTTGGGAGGACTGATTGAGGCAGGTCTTTACACAGATAGAAAGAGTGTTGTTGTTAGTTGCGAAGTCATGTCTGACCCATCACGATCCCATGTACAACATTCCTCCAGGACTTCCTGTCCTCTACCATCTTCTGGAGACCATTTAAGTTCACGCCTACTGCTTCAGTGACTCCATCCAGCCACCTCATTCTCTGTTGTCCCATTTTTCTATTGCCATCAATCTTTCCCTGCATTAGGCTCTTCTCCAGTGAGTCCTTCCTTCTCATTAGGTGGCCAAAGTACTTGAGTTTCAACTTTAGGATCTGGCCTTCTAAAATGCAGTCAAGGTTGATCTCCTCTAGGACTGACCGGTTTGATCTCTTTACAGTCCAGGGGACTTGCAGGAGTCTTCTCCAGCACCATAGTTCAAAGGCCTCAATTCTTTCTCAGCCTTTCTTATGGTCCAACTTTCACAGCCATACATTGCAACTGGGAAAATAATGGCCTTGACTATACATACTTTTGTTGGCAGGGTGATGTTCTCTGCTTTTTAGTATGCTGTCTAGATTTGCTATAGCTTTCCTCCCCAGGAGCAAACGTCTTTTAATTTCTTGGCTGCAGTCCCCATCTGTGATGATCTTGGAGCCCAGGAAGATAAAATCTGTCACATTGATATTGATATTGATAGAGCAAGAGAGAGAGATGATAGATAGATAGATAGATAGATAGATAGATAGATAGATAGATAGATAGATAGATAGATAGATAGATAGATAGATAGATAGATAATTCATTTTATTTGACATGACCAGGTGGGTGAGGATGGGTGACCATGGAGGAGTGGGCATGGCTGGGTCGACATGGATGACTTGGCACAGATGACTTGGCACAACCATATGGGCATGGATGGGTGGGCATGAGCAGGTGGGTGCAGATGGCTGGGTGTAGCCAGATTGACATGAAACAAATCACCCTGGCCAATGGGATATTGGGACAACTCAATGTCCCATCAGCTGCTTGCCTCCCCAAACTAGCAGCAGCCAAATGCATGCCTCCCAAAGCCCACGCTGGAGCCTGATGGTCAATCCGCCACCTCCCCCAGAGAAACTTCCTTTCAGATCATGGGGGGGGGGGCAGAGTTTGAAAGAGCACAAATCTCCAGCTGCATTAATAGCTCTGCGGTGATGCCAGTGCAATTACAACCGTACCTGGGACTCATTCCACTCCACAAATTTCCCATCGCCAGTTGAAGTCCTCCACTTCCTGCCTAGCTTTTTTTCTTAATTGTGGGGTGAGGGATAGCTTTCCAATGGGGCAGTGTCTCCCTGGTGTCTGACAGGAGTCCTGCCTTCTTGCTTCCCCTTTTCTCCCTCCAACCCTCCTTCCCTTCCTCACAGCTGCTCACTGGCTGCCAACACACCCAGAATTGCACACCCACAGCTCCTGGTATACCCAGCTTGACAAAGGTCCCTCCCTGCAAACAGTGCCTCTCAGCTCTCCCCTGTGAGTGTACCACTCTGGGTGTGCTGGCAGCCAGTGAGCCAGGGAGCAGTTGTGAGGATTTTTCCAAGTAGGATGAAATTCCACAGAAATCAATGGGTCATGGTGGATTTGAGTTAGGAGGAAAGAGAAGGGGTGGGGTCTCTCTCCCCATATCAGAAAACTATTGTTAAGGGGGTTTCTAGCACCAGAATGGGATGACTCACAGCAGCAACGCAAAGTTGTAATTCTCAGAAGGGGGGGGACAGTGGAGCAAACTGAATCTTCTCTTGGCCCTGGGTTGGGGAACGTGTCCATCCCCCCTTTTTTTGCTTGATTCCAAGAAAGGTTATAAGTGTTCCGGCATCACTGCAGAGCTTTTAATGCAACTGGACATTTGAACTCTTTCAAATTCTCCCTCCCCCCATCTGAAAGGAAGTTTTTCTGGAGGAGACAGTGGATTGACCACCGCCAGGTTCCAGTGCAAGCTCCAGGAGACACACTTGGCTGCCAGCAGTTCAGGGAGGTGAGGAGTTGGTGGGGCATCATGTCCCCACTTCCAGTTGGCCAGGGAGACACGTTCCATACTGACCTGACCATGCCCAGCTATTTGCAGCCACCCAGGCATGCCCATCTGCCTACCCTCACCCAGCCATGCCCATCTGGTCACAGAGTCATCCACACTGAGTCATCCATATCAACCCAACCGCACTCACTCCTTTGCATCCACCCAGCAACACCCACTCAGTCAAGACCCATCCAAACCCACCCATTCATGCCCACCCATCCTGACCGCTGAGTGTCATCATAGCCCCCTTTTGTCCTAGTGGTTCCAGCCCATCCAACAAGATCAAATAGGGAAGGTACTCTTTTAGTCCTTCCTTGAAGGATGGCCAACCTCAGGTAGCACAAAACCTTTCTATTGCTGTCTTCCTCCTTAATTTTTATGAGTAATGGTAGTTTTACATGACCATTGGAAGACAATGGTGTGGATAGGGTTAGGATAAATATTTCTATTGGCACTAGGTGAATTTAAGATTAGAGGTAAACTCAACGGAAGCCTATTTATGCCTTTACATAGTACATAGTTCAAAAATAAAATTATTAATTAATAATATTAATAAATCTTTAATCAATATTTTAAAATAACTCATTTTCTAATATAGTTTTTTTAAGTTGCATGAATCATTTATTTTCTTTTACTTCTTCAGGAATTAAAGCAAGATATTTCCAGTTTTCGCTTTGAAGTATTGGGTCTTTTAAAAGGAAACAAACTGACTAATGTACAACACTCTAAAACTAGCACAGAAGGCTCCTCCTCCTTGACAGAATCTGATGAAGAAAGTGAAAGTGGAGGAAATGAAAAAATTATGAAGAAAAATCTCAGTCTTTTCGAAATAACTACAATGATTCATCCAAGAGTAGTGGCAAGAGTCTCTGAAGCACACAACCAAAGCAATGGGTCAGCAATGAGGTTAACTGAGTCCACAAAGGAAAAACAAAAGAAAGTAAACTTTATAGCTGATGTAAAAAAGTTTAGGTTATTTCATAGACAATTAAATAATTTTACTGAGCACTGTACAAAAAAAATTTATTCAATTTCTGAAGAAATTTCCCATCAAAAAGCAGAACATAAGAAAGTAATTGAAGTAGGAAATAAATCATTGGCTGTGAACTGTAAGCTAAACAAACATGATTTCAGTACAAAGTGCACAGTTCCCAATAATAAGCAAGGTAGAAAGAAGATGTTGGACTCCATGCTGAATAAGAAAGCTGCTCCTTTTGACTGGAGGACCACCAAGGGGCAGGCTTCAGATTTCCCCAGAGAAAATGATTTGCTAAACAATGAGCAGGACATCAGCATCATAAAGGAAGAAACAAATATTCAGAGCAGCTATATGACAACAAGGTTGTGATGAAAGCAGGCGCAACCTGTAAATATATATATAAACCGCAAAACACTTTGAAGCAGAAATATTTAAAATTAGTTACCAAATACAGCGTTAGAATATTCAAGAACTGTAGGATAAAATGTTGTAATATAGTTCTATGATGAAAAATAAACAGAAAAATCTGTTTTGTAATCTGCTTTTGTTTTCACAATTATTTCTACAGATTTTTTTAAACAGAAGTATCTGGTATTCTTCTGTTGTTGAAATAAACACAGCAAAGTTTGTAGCTATCTTTTTCAATCTGAAGTATAAAAATTTCTATAGTTGATACCTATAGAAAATATTTTTCTCTGCTTTGTATTAACTCCTCAGACAAAGATCGAAGCCTGAAAAAACCCTTATTTTCCTGCATCTCCAGGCTAGGGAGAATATAATTAAGTGTTTGTGTTTCAAATTCAGTCTCTCTCAAAAGTGAAGCTTGATGCCTGAATTCACTATAATTATAATTGTAATTGTAGTATAATTATAATTAATTATAATGGCTGTAATAATTATTTAATAACCATAATTAATTATATATCTATAATAATATAATTATAGCATCATACTTAAGTATAATTACAATATTATAATTTATAATTATAATATATAATTAATTATAGCATAATTATATTATAATTATAGCAAATTCAGCCACTAAGCTTCACTTTCGAGAGAGACATCAAAATTGAAAAACAGACACTTAATCATGTTCTAGGATTTGCACTTTGTCAGAGAAGTTAGTACATAGCATAACATAATTGCTAGCAGAAAATTATGAATTATAATTATATTATAATAAAATTTTATTTATATCGTAATCATAATTACATAGGTAACTATATCATAATCATAATTACAATAATAAAATTATAGCAAATTCAGTCACTAAGACAGTCATCAAATTTGAAAAATGGAAAATTAATTGTTTTCTCCATGCCCTAGAGCACGGGTCGGCAACCCGCGGCTCCGGAGCCGCATGCGGCTCTTTGAGCCATCTCCTGCGGCTCCGGAGCCTCCCCTCCCCCTCCCCCCTTCTTCCTCCTGCTGCCCTCCCCAGGCTTCAGTCCCGGCTGGGGTGGCAGAAACATCACTTCCTGCGCCGTCGAGCCGACCATGTGTCTGCCCGTGCCAGGCGGAAGTCCTGGCTGAGGCGGCAGCGGCATCTCTCCCTGGGCTGTCCCCTGGCCACTGAGCCGGCTATGCATCTTTCCAGGCCGGGCCGGGCAGCAGTCCAGGCTGGGGCGGTGGCAGGAGGGCATTGCTTCCTGGGCCGTCCTTGGGCAGCTGAGCTGGCCACGCATCTCCTTGGTCCGGGCTGAGCAGCAGTCCCGGCTGGGGGGGTGGCGGTGGGGGCATCGCTCCCTAGGCCGTCCCCAGGTCGCCAAGCCAGCCACACGTCTCCCCACGCCGGGCTGGGGACATTCCTTCCTGGGCCATCCCCGGGCCGCCGAGCTGACCACGTGTCTGCCCGGGCCAGGTGGCAGTCCTGGCTGGGGCGGCGGCAGGGGCATTGCTTTCTGGGCCATCCCCGGGCTGCTGAGTTGGTACGCGTCTCCCTAGGCCGGGCTGGGTGGCAGGGGGACATTGCTTCCTGTGCCGTCCCTGGGCCACTCACCCGGCCATATGTCTCCCTGGGCTGGGCAGGCTGCAGCAGGGGGGCATCACTTCCTGGGCTGTCCCCAGGCCGTTCCCTAGGCAGCCTAGCTCGCCATGCATCTCCCCGGGCTGGTCCGTGGGGTCCCAGACACCTTTCAGCGACTTTTACCACCTCCTGCCTCCCTCCCCTCCCTGCCCCTTTGGCGCCATCTGCCTTTCTTTCTCTCTCTCTCTCCTCATCTGGAGAGGGGGGGCAGAGGAAAGAGAGAAAGAGGTTGACTTGTTCGGGCAAAGAACCAGTGGGGGACAAGGTGAGCTAAGTCAAAAGACACGGAACTTTCGTGCTAGCTTCTCCCGAACCCTTGTTATCCCTGCCACAAACTCAGCTCATCCGTCCTCACTCTCTCCTCTCCTCTCTCTGCGGACGAGGCTGCTTGCTTCAAATGGTTTGCTACCGAGGCCCGGGAGCCAGGCAGGCGGGTAAGTCTCGATAGCAGTATTTTGTTGCTGTTGTTTTGCGCACACGTGGCGCTGGCTGGGAACAGAGCCAAGCAAGCTCTGTGGTTGGAAGTCCCTGCAGCTTAGGAGCCAGGATTTCCCCACTCTCCGTCCCAAATCCCAAGCAGGATTCACCACTTTGGGATTGGAAGTAGCTGCTGATCAGGATGGACAACACCACAGACGACGACATAGACATTGATCCATCCGGAAGTTCCCGCCACTGGACATGAAGTTTTGAGGGGAGCTGCGGCGCCTGGGGTTCTTCTTAACCCAAGTCCTCAACTACATGGAAGAATACAGCCGAGACATCCTGACTGACAAGGCTTGGATCCGCATCGTACAGGCAGCCCTCGACAGCGTGGCAGCTGACTGGGTGGTGGACCTACCTGACTCCAATGCCCCCAACCTCCAGAACTTCAACCAATTCACGTTCTCCCTTAGACGACAGTTGGATGACCCCTTGGCAGACCGGAAGGCCCATTAGAAGATTAAGATGGTGAAGCAAGGCAGGCGCCCAGGAGTTCCAAGCCATTGCTAGCAAGCTAATTGGCCGGAAGACATCCTGCTTAGCCATTTTAAGGATGGGCTAAATTATGACCTCTACAATGCCTGCCTTCCCCAGGGAGACCCACACTGATTGCACGACTGGTACATCCTGGCAGAGGAAGCTGAGATTGACCTGCTCAAGAGACATCACAGAGGGAAGCTGTGGAACCTATCACCCCCTGAGCCATCACGCAAGCTCATGAAGCCTCAGCTAAGAAGACCACCAGCTGCTTCAAGCCACAAGAAACAGCCATGAGGGGCACCGAGGCTGTCAAGTTCCCCCCTCTGCCCAATGGGGGAAAGGAACCCCGGCCTACACAGCAGGAGCATCCAACTCATCAGACAACAACTCCAAAGATGAACCCCTGGTAAGTGGACCCATCACGGCCCTCAACCGGACAGTGACTATCCTAGCCCACTCCATGCCCGAAGCTGTAAAAATTAAAGCCCTACTAGACTCTGGCTGCACGCGTTGCCTTATTAGCTCAACCCTGTTGGGAACCCTGTGCATTCTGGTGAGGAGGCTGAAGAAACCAATATCCTTCGTCAATTAGATGGGTCCATAGCAGGGGGAATGCCAGCCACTCTAGCCACACTACCAATCTACCTTACCCAGGGGATCACGAGGAGACTATAATGTTCATGGTGACCCCATGCATGGAGTTCCCAATAATACTGGGTTTGGCATGGCTAATGAAATGGAACCTCCGAGTAGACTGGAGGACAGTGGAACACAGGTTCCCAAAAGGGGATCGAACAGGATCACCACTCCGGGGAGTTCCTGAGAGTTCACCTCCAGAAAGAGCAGTGGGGGAGGAAAAAGCATTGCCTGAAATACCTGAGGAGTACAAGGACCTCACTGAAGTCTTCAGTGAGGAGCGGGTGGATGAGCTACCCCCTCCCACAGACCCACGGACTGCGCGATAGAAATCAAGCCAGGAGCAAAGCTCCCAAAGCCTCTGGTATTTTTAGAGTTAACTTAGATGATGTTGGGAGGGGAGAGAAAGAATGTGTGTAGGGAGTAATTAAGATAAGGAATACCCGGGCTACAGAACGGAAGTGAACCTTTGCCCTCTGGGCTGATTGGAGAACATGATTTATGACTGCAAAATAAAGGAGGGGAATAGGCTGGAATGTTATGTACAGGGGAGGGGAATTCAGATCTTGGCATCCCTCCATGCTGTGCCGACACTGTATTTACATGATTAAAGACTTTTTAGGATAAACAATACCTGGAAGTTCTTTGAAGTGTTCCATTAGTCGGAACCATGACATCATGCCAAGATCTTCCTTCTTTTCAAACTACCTGGGGTCCTGAACCCCAGCCACTGTCTCTAGACTTGAGAGAAGCTGGCAAAGATTTAGGAGGAAATTTCATTATGGAAAAAGAGCACCTGCTTGAAGACGATGACCCGGCAGCTGCTGATACCCCAGAGAGGGAAGCAACAGATAGCATGCTGTGGGAAGATGAGTTTTGGCAGATAAAAGCAGAACCCAAACAGCTAGGAGAGCTGATCTGGCCGTCAGCCCAGGCCCAGCCTAGCAGAGACTCCAGATGCCTCGAGATTGCCTTGCCACCCTCAAAGGCAAACACAGACTGGTGGAGTGCTACCAGATCGTCTGCCACTGAAGGATCGAGTGAGTCACTGGAAAGATTTGAAAAGCTAGAGGTAAGAAGCAGAAATCAACTCCTGCAGAGAGGAGCCTCTGTTGCAGATCAGACAGCCTTCCAGACCCTGTCTTCCCCTGCCAGGGCCTCCAGCCCTGAAGATAGAGGGAATCCCAGTCTGAGGCCTCTGCAGCAATGCGGAATTTGGCATCCCCTGCAGGTGGATGGTCAACAGCCTCTGAGCTTGCCATAGCTAATAGAAGCCTTGCAACAGGTTGGGGTGATACATAAGCCAGGAGATCAGCAGCTGGTGGGGGAACAACCACAGCAAGGAGATTGGTCACCACCCCTGAACATACAGCAACAACTGAGGGGCCTACAGCAGCAGGGGGCGTGGCCACAGCCCCTGAACATGAAACCCCTGGGCATGCAGCAGCAACTGGGGGTACAACAGCTGCAGTGGGGGGCTCCACCTTTCAGAGCAACCTTTGATGGAGACCCAGAAAAGCTGATTTTCTTCCTCAATCAAGTGCACTCTCATTAGAACTGCTGGGTCTATCTCTACCCGGACCCAGGCGCCATGGTCGATGTGATTGCGTCCAGCCTAGAGAGAGAAGCGTCCGAATGGCTGAACAATTTATATAATGAGCAAGCCCCTGAATTGGAGGGCCCCCACCTCTTCCTGCTAGGGCTGAGAGAAAGATTTGAGGACCCATCTATTGGCCTCAAAGCAGGAGAACAAATCCACAAAATAAAACAAGGTGGCAGGCCTGCCCTGGAGTACAAGCGAGAGTTTTGCAACATAGCAGGTCGAATAGAGGGGTGGCCTGAGCAATCCCTAATCCATCACTTCATTGAGGGATTAGACTACCACCTCTCTCAGGCCTGCATCTA